CATGATTCCTCGGGGGGGGGGTACACAAACAGTGGCTCTGTGCATGCATGCATAGAGAATTGCAGCAGGGACTTTTTCTTTGCTAGTTAGGAATGGATAAAAGCTCTGGCTTTTTGTAATGCTAAGCAACATGATTTCAGGGAAGAAGAGTTGTTCTGCTTGCCACTACTACTACCTTCCTAGTTATCATTATCATCATCAAAATGGAAAAAGAACAGAAAAAGAAAGAGATAGATTGACTACAAAGACAACCAATGGCCTTTATCCCTGGAAAGCTCATCACATTTAAGGTTCCACTGGAATTTACAAGACAACCAATGCCACAGTTGTTTCAGCAGGACTTAACACAACTAGCTTTTTCTCAGTTAAGACCAAATCTTCAGAACCTACATTTCCAAATGAAAACTCTAAAGTAGTGGTCTGCAAGCCAGCAATATCAACCACGAACAGTAAGAATGCTTATTCTAGGTATTCAATGCTTACTTACAACTTGATTCATAAAACTAAAGGCCAACATCTGATTCAATATTTTGGAACAAAAAAGATGAAGAGGCATTATCAAGACTGTTGAGTTCCAAAATTTTTGACATTGACAGGCCACCAGTGAAGAAGAAGAGACACATTTATTAACCTAAATTAACCACATGATCAACCCCTAGCAGAAAATTAGTAAGACTAAGGTCCTTTTGGGAATCTAGCGAAGAATTGTTTAAATTTCAAGATCACTAAAACAGAGCAGGCATGAGAAAGTGGGGAGCATATTTAGATAGGAAGGTTCTTAATAAGGAAGGAAGGAAGGAAGGAAGGAAGAAAGAAAGAAAGAAAGAAAGAAAGAGAGAAAGAAAGAAAGAAAGAAAGAAAGAGAGAAAGAAAGAAAGAAAGAAAGAAAGAGAGAAAGAAAGAAAGAAAGAAAGAAAGAGAGAAAGAAAGAAAGAAAGAAAGAAAGAGAGAAAGAAAGAAAGAAAGAAAGAAAGAGAGAAAGAAAGAAAGAAAGAAAGAAAGAGAGAAAGAAAGAAAGAAAGAAAGAAAGAGAGAAAGAAAGAAAGAAAGAAAGAAAGAGAGAAAGAAAGAAAGAAAGAAAGAAAGAGAGAAAGAAAGAAAGAAAGAAAGAAAGAGAGAAAGAAAGAAAGAAAGAAAGAAAGAGAGAAAGAAAGAAAGAAAGAAAGAAAGAGAGAAAGAAAGAAAGAAAGAAAGAAAGAGAGAAAGAAAGAAAGAAAGAAAGAAAGAGAGAAAGAAAGAAAGAAAGAAAGAAAGAGAGAAAGAAAGAAAGAAAGAAAGAAAGAGAGAAAGAAAGAAAGAAAGAAAGAAAGAGAGAAAGAAAGAAAGAAAGAAAGAAAGAAGAGTGCAAAATACTTGTAAGCACAGAAAGCTAGCTTTGTAGTTTTAGAAGTGTTGTACCATGGAGCTAAAGGAAGAGGAAAGAACTAAAGAACTGCAAACAAATGTATTTGTTTACTTATTTATTTGGCTGTACTGATGGGAAAAAAGAGACCAAAGAAAAAGGTGAAGGTTTGGGAAAGGAAAGGGACATTCATAATGCAGAGATAGAGATGTGACTGAAATTATTTCATGCATTTATCATTTATCTAAAATAAAGATACTTTATGTTTGGGTCAGGCCCAACAAAGCAATGCAGAAAGAGGGATCATACCAGATGCAATTAGACATGCCAGATAGATAAATCATTACTATGAGATAAAGTGTTGTGAATTGCACAAGTCATTCAAAAAGGTAGAAATGAAGAAACTGGTTTTCAAGGCCTTTGAAAGGCCTGCACTGAAAGTGATTAAGGGCAAATCAGCTGGAAGGAAAAGGCACTACTATGGGTTCTGTACCAAGATGCCCAGTTTCTTGTGCTCACCAAACCAACCTATTTTTTGGCCGCACAAACAAGGAAAAAGCTCCAAAACAAATCGACCTGTGGATGTGCAGCACAACTACAGTAGGAAACAGCACTGGGAAGACTGCAAGACAAATGGAAGAAATGCAAAGCACAAGGCTTTAGTCATTGAGATCGTTCTGGAACCGTTAAGGGCAGCAGCAACTACAGTCTTTTGGAGACTGAAAACCAAGCAACCATAACTAGACAGCTGTGGCACCTTAAAAGTAGCATAACTTACGTAATCACAAGGCCTCCTGATTCCTGGGCTAGATATTTCCATGGCATAGTGCAAGCTTCAACTGTGTTCCCCTTTCATATTTCCACAAATCAGGTGCTGAAAAGGTCTGGTCTTCATGCTTTCAAGAAATGAGGAAAGGGTACAGGAGGCTTGGTTTTATATGAATCCTCTTCTCTTTTTTTATTTATTCTTTGCCTCCATATATCCTGGTAGGTAGCACCATAAGACTGATTGTCTGAAATCTACTGCAGGATGGGAGAAGAAGGAAAGAACCATATAAAACACAGGTTATCCAAGATTATTGGAACTGCTTATTAGTATAACTTAGGATCAGAATGGTTGAAAATTTACACACAGACACACACATGGGAAGTACTAAATTTTGTAGTATTTTTTTCCAGTGGAGCCAGCTGTAAAGAACAAAAAAAAATTGTTTCTAGAAGAAAAAAAAGGCCCTGCAATGCTTCTGTATTATGGACAATCACACTTTGAAAGGGTAAAAATAATAGCTGCTTTGAACTCCCATTATCTTTATCAAACTCATATATGTTTTTGATTAGGAGTCTCATGGGGTAGTGGTTAAACTGCAGTATTGCAGCCAAAACTCTGCTCATGACCTGGGTTCAATCCCAGGTAGTCAGCTTGAGGTTGACTCAACCTTCCATTCTTCCAAGGTTGGGAGACTGAGTACTCAGTTCACTGGGTGTGTAGCATGGATAATTAAATTATAAATCACCCAGAGAGTGCTTTAAGCACTATGGAGCGGTATATAAACAGCACACTTTGCTTTGCTTTATTATTTCTGTGAAGTAATCTTACCCAGAAGAATGAACACATGGGTGGGAAGAGATCAGCATTTCAGCTATTGATTTAATCTCTCATTATGTAGCATATTCATCCAACCATCAATACAGAAAATTTGTGCAAAAGCTTGATGTAGAAGACTGGGTGAATATACCAAAGTCACAGGTCAAGGTGAAAGCACAAAGTCTCTATGTCCTGCTATGTTTCTTCTCCATAGTATTGTATTTGCATGTGGTCTGACCACAGTATAAGATCACAGACACTCTACCAGTCTGTAGTAGCCATGCATAAAAGTCTACCTGCTCCACCTCCTCCGGGAGCTGCCTCTGAGTGGGCATCCACCAGAGAGGTCAGGGCTAGAAAATGCTGAACACCATTCAGCCATAATATGAAACGGCAGTTACTGCCCATCGCTATTGTCTGTTCTTAAATCTAAGTGAGGATATATTGTGCAGAGCAGGCCTAGTGCTAAGATACAGTCAGAACCTATGGACTGGTTTTACAAGCTGTTGGCGTCAAGTGCTAATTTGTGAATAAGAGAGGTGAGATATTCAACTAAGGAGACAGGATGCAGCCAGATAGTTCTTTCCCCAATTCCTAGGAAAACTCTTATTCCAACCTTCAAACTATGGTTGTGTAGGATAATGCAAGGCATTCTTAACTTTACTTACCCTGCAGTAGAGCAGGGTGATGTTCACTAGTTGGTATGGCTGTGCTATGCTAGAACTGAGAAATAAATACTGTGAAAGCAATGGTGAAGAGAAGGAGGGCTCTTACATTTAATTGTGTGAGCAACTGTTCGAGTGCATTACCTTAGAAATTGTGTCACAAAGAAAGATCATTCCATGCTTTTAACACATAGCACTATGGCTAAAATATTATATCTAACACATCTTTGTTTGCAAAATAAACCCTGCTCACATTTTAGATAATGAGATAATTTTTATTTACCTCCTCCCCATCTCAGACACCTGGCTAAATCATTCCCAGTCCCAAGAGGAAGGATAGCGACTGGAGGATGCTTACTCAAATTTGCTCTCTCTGTGAATTAAAAGAAGAAAAAGGTTGAAGTGATAAAATCCTAAGAGAACACATCTAAAACTGCTAGTATTGAATTATCAATTTGTCCCCAGTTTCTTTTTTATTATTATTAATTAAAGAAAAACAATAATAACAATACTAGCATAAAACATGTGCACATATATATCATACAAAATTCCCCCCGTGCCACCATCACCCTTGTGACCAGATAACCAAATATATTCTTTTAATCTCTTTCACCCCATTCCACTCCAAAAATACATTGATTCTTCTGCTGGCCTATGACCTATCCCTTTTACAAAAACATAATTCAAATATGTATTCCATACCTCTTTAAAATCATTGTATTTCGTCACTCCTTACTTTTATTTCACATTTATCGTTAAACACATTTCTTTATACCAATCTTCAAGATAAATTTGTCATTTTCCCTTTTTTTTTTTTTTGCAAATATTAGTCTTGCTGCTGTGACCATTATAACAATTAGTTCTTTCTGTTCTTTTTAAAGATGATCATTCTTAGTTATATTTAAATGGGCAATAATTGGTGATATTTGAATATTATATCCAATAATATCTCTAGGTTCATTGAAAACCAGCGTCCATTCTTTCTTATTTCGCAAGTCCACCACATATGTAAATAACTTCCTTTTTCCTTTTTACATCTCCAGCATATAGATAGTACATGTTTATTTATAATATTCAATCTTACTGGGGTAAGGTACCATCTCCATGCAACCTTAAAACAATTTTCTTTTAATGTATTCTCAAATGTTTTCACGGCCGGGATTCGGTGGTTGTTGTAGGTTTTTCGGGCTGTTTGGTTATGTTCTAGAGGTTTTCTTCTTCTTCGTCTCCCTCTTTATCACAAAAATACACCCATGACAAAAAACACACCGATCACCATTATCACCCAATCTACTGAAAAGGACAAAAAGTTTATCTCACAGCTACAAATATTCAACTATCCCACACACTACACCAGAACACAGAGTTCTAACTCCTATCTTCTGAAGATGCTGGCCACAGAGACTGGAGAAATGTTAGGAAGAAAAACCTCCAGAACACAGCCAAAGTAGCCCGAAAAACCTACAACAACCAATTATCTTTTACACTTATAGACATAATTTCCATTAATCTTTGTGACCATATTTTGTTCCAATACTCACTTGTAGCCTCTTCCGCTAAGTCCTCTTTCCACTGGTTTTTCATATTCAACATTAGAATCTTATAAATCACACTTACTGTGCCCTTTCTTTTATTTCCTTCCACTTTGCTCTATGATTTCCTCAAATTTAGCCATTTTTCTAATTTATCCTACTTTTCTCTGTGCCCTTTCTTTTATTTCCTTCCACTTGAACTTGTCTTTGCTCTATGATTTCCTCAAATTTAGTCACTTTTCTAATTTATCCTACTTTTCCAATCCACTCCCTTGTCTAACTTTCCATTTAAAGTATATTTATCCAAGATATCTCCTCTTCCTTTTCCAACATTTCCTTTATAGTATTTATTTTTATTTTTCATCTTTTTCACCCAAACCCTTATTGTATTTAACCATTTCTCTACTAACACTAAATTTAGTTTTAAGGATTTGGGGGAAGCTCTAAGCCTCCACTACTTCTTGTAGTGGTGAGATAAGTGGACTCAATATATATCTGAATTCTTTCCAACATTCCAACATATTCTTCAAAAAGGGATTAGTTGTTCTTTTTACTTCTTCTGCAATTTTTTCTTTAAAGAGGTTATTCTCCAGTCTATTAAAATATTCTGTCATTTCCAGTTCCCTCCCTATTAAGTTTTTAATATGTGCATCAATATCTGGAATATGTCTTAGCTGGTTTGCAATACAGTATGCTTTAATGTTTGGTAGTCCAAGTCACCCCCCTTTTTGTGGAATATATCATATTTTCTTATTAATCCTTATTCTTTTGTTTCCATTGCAATACTTATTTATCAAGTTCTACCAGTCTTTCAGATACCGTATTTGCCGGCATACAAGACAACTTTTTTGGCCCAAAAAACATGCCTCCAAGGGGGGGGGTTGTCTTGTACGCCGGGTGCACTTCATTTGGGCCAGGAAGGAGCCACCGCTGGGGAGGAAGGCAGGCGGGCAGGCAGGCAGGCAGGCAGTCGGGATGGAGGCAGTCGCTAGCCTGCCACCCGCCCACTTCCCCTCTTCCTCCTCCTCCTCCCACCGCCCACCCAGCCTCTTCCCCTCTTCCTCGCCCTCCTCCCCGCCAGCCATGAACTTCCAGGGTGGGCCCGGGCAGAGCCCTGGGCAGCCGCTGCTGGCGCCGCAGCAGAGCTGTCCACTCTCTATTTTGAGTAGAAATGTTGGGGGGTCGTCTTATATGGCCAGTCGTCTTGTACAGTGGCAAATATGGTATATTTCTTCAGTCTTTATTGGGAGCATCCAAAATACAAAGTTAAGTTTGGGAATAATCTTCCTTTTACTTAATGCTATCCTTGCATACTATTCTCGTATGCCAAACTATGGCAATTTTGATTTATCTGTTCATTAATTTCTTTCTTCAATTTATCCATATTTACTTTACTCATTTCTTGTAAATTCCATGTAATATAAAGACCTAAATATTTAATTATGCTTTCAAATTTTCCCTTAAATTATGTTGTCATTTCTTTCTCATCTGCTTTTGAACAATTTTATAAAACACATTCGGATTTCTTCCAGATTACTTTCAAACCAGTTATTTCTTCAAAGTCATTCAAATGTATTCTAACGTTCTGCAATGCTTCTCTTTGATTTTTAATTATTAATAATATGTCATCCTCAAAAAGATTCATTTTATCCTCCTCTCTAGTATCTACACCTTTAATTAAACTATCATTTCTGATCACTCGTGCCAGCACTTCCATTTTCAACATAAATAAAGTTAGAGATAAGGGGCAACCTTGTCTCGTTCCTCAGCCTAAACCTATCGATTCTGTTATGCCATCATTTATTATTATTTTTGCAGTATTCTGTGAATATAATTGATGTGTTATTTGTCTAAATCAAGTACTGAATCCTATCTGTTTAAGCAACATTTTAAATGCATCCCATTCAACCAAATCAAAAGCTTTGAAAATATCCAGGAGGATCACACCTACCTTAGATTTTGATTCTTTTGCCAAGTACATCAAGTTAAGCACTTTCCTCATTGTATCTGACATTTGTCTACCTTGTATAAAACCATTTTGATCTTTCTCAATATATTTCCCCATAAACTTATTTAATCTTGCTGCCAAAATTGCTGTAAATATTTTAGCGTCTTGATTTATCAGTGAAATTGATCTATAAGATTCCATATTTATAGGGTAATTTGTCTCCAGTTTCTAGTATTATACATGGTCTCATTGTTTTCTATTTTAGGCACTTTTGTCCCAAAGCCTATTAAGCACTGCCATTGCTCTACATTTTACTGAGAGAAGCAAATCAATCTAGTGTCTTTGTCATCACCAAAAAAAGAGAAAAGCTTTATTTGTATTATGGGTCAAATCACAAAAATGGTTGCCCTCCATGCAATGAAGTACTGTACATAGATACAAAATCAATAGTACACATTGGTAGAACGACTTCCTCCCAATTCCAATATGTATCATGTATTAAATCATGAAAGTTATCCAGAGTTTGATGGACTCACTCAGCAATGGCAGATATACTGAACAAAAGTCAATGAGGAAATGCCCGGTGACTCTGATATTGTAAAATCTAATATTTGTTTAGTCTAGACCTGTTTGGCCTGTAACTCACTAAGCCAAATGCAAGCTACCAATCATCCATTTGACAGCTCTCTCGTATCTATTTATCATACTTCCAATTTTTACTTCAAGTTTAAGATGGTCAGATTAAGCTGTATTGTAAAATTAGTCATAAGAGAATACATCTGCTTCCGTAGGCTTCATATTAATACATTAAAAACAACAATAGACATGTTCGTCCATGAGCAAAAATACACAGCTTGGCAATATCATTATCAGGATCAATGAAAATATGACAAAAATAGCAAGCTTTGAAGTTCTTCTAAACACATCAGCAGGCTAAGTAGTATACAAAAAGCAGGAGATGCTGCAGCTACCAAATACAGTTTAGATCCAGTCTCAAAATAGAGATTTGCTGGGTGAATAAAATGATGATAGATATTGCTGGCATTAGATTGCACTTAGCAAGAGCAATAAACCTAGTAAAAGGTGAGTCAAACCAAAGTACAAAAGTGAACTCAATCTTCATTTTAATCAGTTTTGTATGACTGCCTATTTTAAAATTTCCAAATATTAATTGAGTGTCTTGAGCTGCAGCATGTGAGTAGCCCAGTGAGGAAAAAAGACATATGAAAATCAGTTTAGAATGGCTTGAACATAATCACAAGTTTGTTGGTTAGAACTGTAAGCTTTCCAATAGCATAGGATACAACTCCAGACCTAGGAGGATCCAGTTGCCATCTGATGACCCACCAGACCTATCCCACCTATTGGACCACCTGGAGCAGTCAGGATGTGGGTACCACATGGCTGCTCTTCTACTGTGTGATTCCCTTATCACTAGCAATGGGCATGAACCAGAAAACTGGTGGTTTATGATGGTTTGTGGTATGTGGCTACCCATGAACCACTACAAACCACCGAAAAAATGAACCAGTTTGTGGTTCATTTTTCCAGTTCATGCCAGGACCTACCTCCTCCTGTCTCCTCTGCTGCCCACCCACCCCTGCCACCTCTCTACCTAGTCCTGCACAAAGAGTCACTGGATATCTCCTTGTACAAGCAATCAAAATGCTAAACTGCTTGCACTACATTTTATAGCACAAGCAATTTGACTGATGAGGATCCTGGCCCAGATCCTTCCTTTTGAAGGGAGTAAATACAAGACGGCCATGCTTTATTAGCTTCTCTGTCGGCAGAACATACATTATGAGAACACAAAAATCTTATACCCACACTAGAAAGGAAAAGCATTTTCTTTTTGTACAGAAAATTTTAAATATTTATTTATTTCATTTGTTCTTAATAGGGAGTGACTGAATTTCCTCTCCTCAAACACTCAGATAACTCATCTTTCTCTTTGGGCATTTGGAGAAGGACATAAATAATCTGAAAAAGGTTGGTGGTATTATGTAGCACCCTTGGTAAAACTGGTCCAGCTTAAGGAGTTGTACCCCTAGTTCCCATGACAAGTCCCAAATAAATGATGAAAATGATCTGACAGCTGAAGACAGGTTCATGTGTCCCTAAAAGAGGTAGAAAGCAAACAAAAACAGCATTCCTATTTCTGTCAAGCCACAGTCAACAAAAATGTAACAACCCATGTACTATATACAAAAAGTATCCAGCGTAACAGAAGACAGCCCGTAATAAAATGGGACATTTTAAATGAGTTATGTTATATAAACAATATATGACAAGAGTAATTTTTTTATTTTTTAAAATATCATTTCTATCCGTCCTTTGTCCCATAATGGGATACAAGGCGGCTCACAGTGACTAAAATATACTTAAGATTAGGACAACTAATTATTCAATTCAAATGAATTGAAATTGTAATCATGTCATTTAAGAGTATCAGAAGCTTTAAAAATACACTTCTAAAAATACCCAAGATATCAGGAAGAGTCCAGCTTTAATGCCCAATATAGTTTAGAAGGCTTTTTAAAAGGACATATCTTTATCTGTGGCTGGAAAGACAAGGAGTTAGGGGGCTTAAGTGAAGTTAAGCAGCTTAGTTAACACTTCAACCATCCTTTTAAAAAAATTCCCCATACTCTCATAATCAAATTTCTTTCCTGTTCTTTTGATTGCTTTAACATGGAACAGAAAAAGTCTTCCTTTTTCTGGCAAAGCACAAGATCAACAGCATACAAGAGTCAAATTCCAGGTATGTCATGAACATTTTGAAAACAGATAATATGCCTACATATGTATGATAGGTCAGCAAAAGATTTTTTAAAAAAGACTTCCATGTTACCTATGCAGTCCAAAATCCAACCAACAGTTCCATCACCTCCGCAAGCCAGTACTCGAAAGTCAGGAACATCACGAAAAAAATTTAACCTGAAAAGGAAAGAAACATGCAGTTACTGTCTATAGCCTTGTCTTCCTAACATATTATTAAAAAAAAAAACCCCAACACAGCAATTCCCTTTGCTCAGATTGGAAAAATCGGCTGAACTCAGCTTCTCTTAGGACAGCATATACTTCACAGTGATTGTAACTCTCACATACAATGGGAATGGTATAAGGGCACTAGTCATAAGATGCTAATTACTGCAAAGTGATCCAATAAAATTAGTTTCATTATAACATGCAGTTTATTATAGTGAGCAGCAAGATATTCATCTCCTGGGACCTATATTTTAATGTATAAAGATTAACTGGTATGTAGATGCCGGGGAGCTGTAAAGAACATCATTTTTTTCCACAGAGATCTATGCAACCTACAGCTGACTGCAACAGTTTTCAAATATAGGCTAGATTTAAATTAAATGTGGTTTTATCAAGGAAATATGCTGTACTTGGAACGTATGGTGTAGTAAAATGACCTTTGATGAAACTGGGTTTTATTTCATGACAGGTGAGAGGAGCAACATTTTATACTTAGCTGATGATATAAAATTCCAAGGTGAAATGCAGAGCAACAATTCACTTATCATGCAAAAATGTCTGTATATATTGCAGCATATATGGCATATAAAGAAATATACATGTTGGAACTACTGGTGATTATGCATTTTCATCAGTAGATTTCAAGAAGGCTTATACATTCAAAAAATAGAGATGACGTTTGCAGTGCAAATACCCAGTGAAACTAGAAGAGAAATAAATTGTCTTTCTCATTAAGGTGAGATCAGTGAAGACAATTCAAAATCTAGCTAAAACAAACACAAAAATTGTTACAAAAGCCGACATTCTGAACTGTTTACCTTACTTAATGATAAAACATAATTGGACATAGAAAGAAATTAGTATCAATGACAGCAGGAATAATGACAAAACTTGTTCAAAGAATGAGAGAGACAGGAAGAGCAAGATCAGGTGAGAAAGAGAACATGCCTAGTTAGGGAGCCAAAATAGGTCACCACCTGGTTAGCCACTCTTCACTAGAAGTATTTTTGCAGTCATAATAGAGAAACGCATTTTAAGGCAAATGCAATTCTTCTGGCCATTGCATACAGTTTCATGAAGAAATGTATGTTGCTTGCCAAAATAGAGCAGATAAAAGTGTTGAAGAAAGAGTACCGGACTGACAATTGAGACATGTTTTTAAATATGAATCATATCAATACTTGTATTCCAGAACAGACATAAATGGAGAGTGAGGAGAACATTTCACATGGAGGGAAAACAAAAATCCAGCAAACTAAGTTTCAAAGATGCAGTTCTGCTCATTCCTAATGATAATATCCTATACTGTGACAATGGCAATAATCACTTCTTCAGGAGGTTATCTGAGTCTCCTTCTTCCAGTTCATTATATACTGTACACAACAACACATGTTTATTTACACTCACAATTGTCCTTCCTCTAAATCAGGGGTCTCAAACATGCGGCCCGGGGGCCATTTGTGGCCCCCCAGATGATAGTTTGTGGCCCTTGCCTTGCCTGCCCCCCGCAAAGCACGCACACATCCTCTGCTGTCAAGAGTAAAAAAAAAAGCCTTTCTTGGCTCGCCAGCTCTCTCCCAAGACAGCACCTCTTGCACCCTCCATCCAGAACTGCAGCCTGCCAGCCAGCCCATCTGTCTGCCGGCTAAGGAAACTCCTGGGCGGCTTCCTCGGGCTCTTGCTCCGCTTGGCGGAAAATCTGATGCGGCCCAGCCTCACCCAGACTCTGCCTCTAGCGGCCCCCAGGTAAATTGAGTTTAAAACCCCTGCTTAAATGGTTCAATGTCGTTTCTGTAAGTTTCTCAAAGGGCAACCTCACAACCAGGCAGCATCCAAAGCCAGGCAAAAGAAGAAGAAGAAATTGCATCATTGTGGATTAAACTAATCTGTGGCTCGTACACCAGTGTGGAGATTCAGGTGCCATTCATACACAGACAATATCCATTCATCTTTTTAATCTGACCTTTTTCCTGCCACCTTGATCTTTATTGAGGATCCATCCATTACAGTGTCTCCAGACAAGTGAAATGTTGGTGGCCATTAGAGAAAAAAAATGGTACGGATATGAGAAGATCTAAAGGCTAATCTAATCCAACATTCTGTGCCCAGCCCATCACCCATGGAAAGCCTTGAGGTACAATACTGAAAGTATATTGATACTGATAGGCATATATAGACACTCTGATTGACAGCCACTTATTACAGTGGGGTCTCTACTTAAGAACGCCCCTACTTAAGAACAATCCAACTTAAGAACAGCTCAATTTGCTAAATTTTGCTTCTACTTGAGAACAGAAATCCAAGATAAGAACAGGAAAAAAAAACCTTTCCTGCTCTTTTTTTAACCTTAGGTCATCTTAGGTTAAAAAAAATTCTCCCCCTAGTGGTAGAGTACGTATTAACCAGCTTTGCATTAGTTCCTATGGGAACTATGCTTCAATGTACGAACGCACCTCTACGTATCAAAAAAACAGCCGGAATGGATTAATTGGTTGTCAGTCCATTCCTATGGGAAATTTTGCTTCAACTTAAGAACGTTTCAACTTAAGAACACCATTCCAAAACAGATTAAGTGCTTAAGTAGAGGTTCCACTGTAGTTTCTATGGACGGAAAAGAGCAGATACGGATTAACTGGTTTTCAATGCATTCCTATGGGAAATGCAGATTCAACATAAGAACATTTCAACTTGAGAACCACCTTCCAATACGGATTAAGTTCTTAAGTAGAGACCCCACTGTACTTTTATTTGTATGAGACTATCCAATCATCTTTTAAAGCCATAGTCATTCTTCTTGCCCAGCCAGCCATAACCATTCTAGTTTGTAGCAACGTCTGGTGGATTCACAACCAGCTTAATGCAGGGACAACTAGGGATGAAGCAACAGCTCACCATAGGGATGCCTGATGTTATAAGCATCCTAACTCAAACTACAGAGAGAGGGGGAAAGTGAGAAGACAACCCACCTTAAACAGATGCTCTGCCATAATTCTGCTTGCACCATCCCCTGTTTTCTGGTACCTACTATTCCCTCCCTCAGAGGAAAGCAAACATCATCCTGGGGAAGTGGAGAAAGTGCTAAATGGTAGGTCTGACAAACCTTCCTACATTATGAAATAAGGTGTTTTTAATATCTTTTTCTCTTTTTTTCTTTTTGCAAACAACAATAGCAACAAACCACTCAAAATGCAATTTTCCCAACAGATCTGCATTTTTTTAAATTAGGGATGATATCAACTGCAGTAAAGGCCCATCAAAATAAGCAACACCAATAAAGTCAAGGACAAAGGTAAAGACCACTCATACACATGACTCTAAACAACTAACAATGCAATCTTAAGTATCATTTCAAAGGATAGACATAAGGCTTTGGGTGATAAATACAACATTCCACAAATGTCACAGCACATTGTTAAGAATTTTAATTTACCTAGAAAAAAGCGATTTCTAAATTTTAAAATATTGTAAGTTACAAATTCCCAGGACTGAGTGGACTGCAGAAATGCACTAAGAAAAAAAAAAAACAATGACAATTTTCTGTACGACCTACAGACTAACTGCTATTTGCACAACTGTTATTTGCTTATGAAGTGAAATTCTTCAGTAAAATTAAATCTGCAATAACAGTTGTTGACAGGAATGGATACATGGCTACAACTGCTGAACAATAAATCTCTTTTCAGGGGGAAAACAGATGCCTATCACAAATGACACAATATATTGGAATGGCAATTTTCACATCACTTTGTTAACTGTGACTGTGCAACTGTTCACATTTAAGCTCAGTTTCCAAGCCTGCATGATTTCTCTAATTCATTTTTCCCTTAGACCTGTATTTTTAATCTCAACTGTTAATATTAACTGAAGGGACACAATATTTACAGACTTCAATCCCCACAAAGTTAAACCCTCAGTGGGAGAAATGACAGAGAAAAAGAGACGGACTGACAAATGGAGACAGAGAGTGGAAAAAAAGGGTCTAAGCACCAGAATGAAATGTATCAGAGCTCTCAAGAGGGCCCATTGCTTATTCAAGTGCCAGATTGTGGCCCTGATACAGCACAAAGCTAAACTGAGGCTGCAGAGACAATATTTGTAAATTAAAATTGAAGCTTAAGTTTACGTTCTTCCAGCAGCTGAGCTGCCTGCCACCACTAAGGTAAGGTAAGGGGAGAGGGTTATTGCAGACTGACTGAGAGGTGTGTATGTGTGCACTGAATATTCACCATTCTGCACAGTGTATAATTAATGCTATAAAGTGTAGGATCACACCAGCTGCCTAACGTCAAATGTCAGTCCGCTTTGTGTGCAGAATTTATGCATGCTTTTTGAAGAAACTTACATCATAAACACAAGCATAGGTACCCTAGTGTATCTGTGTATAGTCTATGGATGTGTGCAGGTTGTAAAGGGAGTTAGCAATCTGCTTCCCACATTCACCTATCATAATAGACAGATTTTGCCTATATTAAATGGAGAATGTTTTGTGAATGGAACATGACCACGGGGGCGGGGGATGTTTTAATACTTGAGACTCACTACTGAATTACAATAGTTAATGAGAAAACGATAGCCTAATGAGCAGACTCTGACTAGAAGAACTTAAACAGAAATAGGGAACAAGTAGTCCTTGCACCTCCTCCCACTTCAACCAAATATGTCAGTGGTCCAGCATGATGGGAGTTGTTGTCTCCCAGCATCTGAAGAATCAGAAGACTCCCTTCTTCCTACCCTAAAGCAGACGGGTAGTTTCACATGGGACAAAGAAGTCCCCATGTCTAAGGTTTAAAGAATTAAAAACAGGTTCAAGTTTTAAACACAAAGAAAAAGCCAGTGGTACTGTTCTCACACAGGTGAGCTATGATTATACACGACCAGCTGCTAATGGTTTTGGAACAAATGAATTCTGTGCAAGATCTTCAAGGTTGGCCCCGCAACACAGTCTTTGG